AGTGAGCTCCTCTAATAGCCAAAAACGACAATTCACTAACTCGCTGCATTTCAATTCTTGCTACTCCGCTAGGAGACGGAATATTCAGTCAAATCTCACTGGATGGAGATGGGTAGACTCATGGTCCAAAGCACGAAGAAAGTTTTTGCTTAAAATTACTCTCACTTAACTATTCGGTTGAAATATTTCAGGTGTGAGGTGGAAACGCCGACTAACCCATGTAGCACAGACGGCTACATGAAACCGCCTTTAAGTGTACTTTGCGGCAATAACAGTCAATAAGATTGATCACAATATGCAAATAACCCGCTTGCTCTTCCCAGAATTTAATTTTAAACAATCTAAGGCAAAGTGCAACCATAACCACCAAACGCTATCACAATCATCCCAAACAATGACAATGTCCTAGCAACAATTGTCGAGAACTTACTATGTGTGGTAGGAACAGGTCGGTAGCCAACACCATTCTGCAAATCAATCTTAAATCCAACTCCATTCAAAGTCTCACATGTGGGCTTCCAGTCAACCGAAGCTCTCGAGTCAACGCAAATCTGCCTGCCCTTAGCAAATTCTCTCAACTTCGACAAACTAGGCAGTGTGGATCCACTCCTCGTTTTTGATTCCACCAATAATTTCCTATGATTTAGGCTGGTGAGAGGACAGGAGAGCTTACAGGACAGTAGCAAATATATTTCTACCCGAGATCGTAAGCTTCCCTGTTTCGGATGGGTTAGACGAAACTAGAAAACTAGGCTGATCAGCGTAATCACCTCTAGAAAAGGATAAGAAAATAAAAAACCCACCTAAAGTACCCGACGTGAAAAGGATTTTCACCATCCTGAGCTAATATAGTGACCATTTCAGGAGGATCATGAAAGTATCGGTAACAATCCGTAAAATCGTCATCGAGTTTGAATTTCATGGGCTCATGTAAAACCTCAAAGGGTCCCACAAGCCTAATTCCAATATCTCTATAAAGTGCGTCTGAACATGAGAAAATTCGTCGTTCATACTCACCAAGAGGAGAATCGGGGAAGATAGAACAGCAAAAAGCGTAAAATTCATAGAATTCTGGAGGACACTTTAGAAGGAATGTTGAGTCGATTAGAGCTGAAACTTCTTTGTGGCGCTCATTGTTCATACTGTAGCATTTTGTTCGTTTAGGTGGGACGTCATCACCTTTGACAGCCCTACGCTTGGGCATTTTAAAATAGGGACAAATTTAGAACTGCGCGCAATCAATGACCTAGCGATGTAGCTGATGATACTGTGGCTGATGCTGGCGATTTTATCAGACTAATGATTACTGCAAA